GACCGTACCGAAAATATATCATTTTTCGTATAACTCCAGGCAATAAAATCCGTCATATTATGTTGCGAAATTGGGAATGTTGATCCAGTCTGCGATGATCATCTAGGTAGGAAATAATTAACTACTACTTAAGGGTGCTTATATGGAAGCGAATCCACTGGGGTGGGCATAATAAACTTGAAACCGAATATCGAACCAAATACCAAACTGAAATAAGTGAATTCTCAATTTATTCAGTGCCTTATTAAGAGAACCAAATGCTACTACATATCCGTGTTCATTTCTAGGAACATTGTAATTATATTTAAGATAAGGATATTCGGTCAGGGTTTGCTTCTTCCTTGCTACCGGATGAAGTAGCAGGGGATAGAAAAGTTTTTCTCAAAGTTATTAGCACTTATCCGTAGTCATGATCCATACTTATTTCGACCGTACTCCATATTATTATTTATCATGAAATATATTGATGTCTGTCACCATCGTAGGCTGGTTAGAACCAAAAGTGAATGGGAAAAAAATGGGAAAATAAATATCCTGAGTTTATTTCATCGTATATTTGTAGAGAGGGAGGTCTCTCGACTCCGCCCTCCCGCTCGTTCGCGCCGCCACCCCGCGGCGGCCGGGCGGGCCTCTTCTTCCCCGGCGCCCGTTGACTCAGCCCTTCTCCGCCCTCCTCGCCGCCACCTGCGCGGGCCGCCGGACGAAGCCTGGTTGGCCTGGGTGGCGGCGGGGGCTCTCTCCTCCCCGTCTGTCTTCGGCAGTGCGGGGTGTTGTGGATCTAGCGTGGCGCGTCGCTGTGTGCAGGGCGCGGTGGCGGGGCTGCGGGTCGCGACGCTGGTGGCATGGGCGCTCGTCGGTGCCGCGACGGCTGTGCGGTGGAGGCGGAGTTTCGTCCTTCGGGTGGTTCGTGCAGGGTGATCCCAGTATGATCTGGCCGGATCTGGCGCTGGCGGCCCGTCCGGCGGTGAGGGTTGTGGTCAACAGGGGCATGGAGGTGTGGCGGCGGTTGGTGCGCATCCAAGCGGGCAGTGGGCGGCTGGCTTGATTGCTCGGCCCTGTAACGGCGCGGTTTGTGGGCGGCTTGGGACGCGGGCGGTCGCCCTGCATTGGTAGGTGGTGGCGGCTGCGCAGTGGTGGTTTGCCATGATCGTCTCCTTCTCGAGGTGGTGGCTCATGGCTGTGGTCCGGGTCATTCACGGCGGCGGCTGGGCTTATCCGGCGTCGGCCCATCGGTGTGTGGCCTGTGTGGACCTTCGACCCTTCTCTTTGGGCGTCCGTCCACTATCTTCCCCGATGGTTGGCCCTCCCCCAGTGACGGTCCATCACTCGTCTCGCACCCGGTAGTAGGACCGATCTTGTCTCGCACCCTATAGCAGGACTGACCTTGTCTCACGCCCAGTAGCAGGACCGAGCCCGTTGATAACCCACAAGTATAGGGGATCACAACAATTTTCGAGGGTAGAGTATTCAACCCAAATTTATTGATTCGACACAAGGGGAGCCAAAGAATATTCTCAAGTATTAGCAGCTGAGATTTCAATTCAACCACACCTGGAAACTTAATATCTGCAGCAAAGTGTTTAGTAGCAAAGTAATATGATGGTAGTGGTAACGGTAGCAAAAGGTAACAGTAGTAAAAGTAATGTTGTTGGTATTTTGTAGTGATGATAGCAATAGCAACGGAAACGTAAATAAGCGAAGAACAATATATGAAAAGCTCATAGGCAATTGATTGGTGATGGAGAATTATGCAGGATGCGGTTCATCATGTAACGGTCATAACCTAGGGTGATACAGAACTAGCTCCAGTTCATTGATATAATGTAGGCATGTATTCCAAACATAGTCATACGTGCTTATGGAAAAGAACTTGCATGACATCTTTTGTCCTACCCTCCCGTAGCAGCGGGGTCCTTACGGAAACTAAGGGATATTAAGGCCTCCTTTCAATAGAGAACCGGAACAAAGCATTAACACATAGTGAATGCATGAACTCCTCAAACTACGGTCATCACCGGTAAGTATCCCGATTATTGTCACTTCGGGGTTAACGGATCATAACATATAATAGGTGACTATAGACTTGCAAGATAGGATCAAGAACACTCATATATTGATGAAAACATAATAGGTTCAGATCTGAAATCATGGCACTCGGGCCCTAGTGACAAGCATTAAGCATAGCAAAGTCATAGCAACATCAATCTCAGAACATAGTGGACACTAGGGATTAAACCCTAACAAAACTAACTAGATTACATGATAGATCCCATCCAACCCATCACCGTCCAACAAGCCTACGATGAAATTACTCAAGCACGGCGGTGAGCATCATGAAATTGGTGATGGAGGATGGTTGATGATGACGATGGCGACAGATTCCCCTCTCCGGAGCCCCGAACGGACTTCAGATCAGCCCTTCCGAGAGGTTTTAGGGCTTGGCGGCGGCTCCGTATCGTAAAATGCGATGATTTCTTCTCCCTGGTTTTTTTCTCCCCGAAACTCAATATATGGAGGTGGAGTTGGAGTCGGAGAGGCAACAGGGGGCCCACGAGGTGGGGGGCGCGCCCTAGGGGGTAGGCGCGCCGCCACCCTCATGGCAAGGTGGTGGGCCCCCTGGCCTTCATCTTTGGCAGGTATTTTTCTTATTTTCTGAAAAGTGTCTCCGTGAAGTTTCAGGTCATTCCGAGAATGTTTGCTCCTGCACATAAATAACACCATGGTAATTCTGCTGAAAACATCGTCAGTCCGGGTTAGTTCCATTCAAATCATGCAAGTTAGAGTCCAAAACAAGGGCCAAAGTGTTTGGAAAAGTAGATACGTTGGAGATGTATCACCCGTCTCGCGCCCGGCAGTAGAACCATGCTCGTCTCGCGCCCGGCAGCAGGATTAAGCTCGTCTCGTGCCCGGTGCCGAGGATGGGGTGATGGAGGCCAACCTTGGCCAGCCTATTGGGTCTCGGCACTGGGGGCAACCCGTGGGTGCGAAAGGCAGGTCCTTTCCACTCGTGTCTTTGGTCGGGGTAGCGGCTGATCTCGTGTGAGGAGGTGCCAAGGTCTTGCATGTCGGGGTGGCGGCCCTGACGGTGGCTCCGCGGGGCTCTTGGGTAGAGCCCGTGGCTTGATGCTGCCCAGTTTCCATGGCCGTGTGGGCGGCGTGGTAACCGGGGTGTGGCGTTCGGCGGCGGTGAATGATGGTCGGGGTGAAAACCTGCTCTTTCTTCGAATGCACCAGCGACGGCGGACTCGTTCCCTTCTTGAAGGCGTCGTCGCGTCTCTCTTTGCCCTTCGTGTTGCTCCGGGGAAACTCTGATCCTCGGATCGGGCGCTGGTGGCGCGCTGGTGTCGTCCCCTTCATGAAGGCGCCGCCTTGGAGCCCACGGTTCGTCATATGTGGTTTCACCTCTTTGCGTAGTGCTAGGGATGGTGTTGCTGCGCTCAGCGCCTATGTATCTTGCCTTGGGTGTGTGTGTGTGTGTGTGTGTTGTGTGGGCATGAGTTTGTACTGGGTGATGTTGAATGGTGCTTTATATATAAAGTAGGGAGAAAGCCTTTTTCGGTAAATAAATATCCTATTGATTGTGACCCTCCTCCCACTCGAATGTTTATTCAACATGCAAGGAATATCTATTTAATTAGGAAATAATATCTACATGTGGGCATGTTACTTTGCCATTTTCATTTATTAAGGAGAAGAGAATTGCCTAGTTAATTGACAGAAAATCAGGCTAAATCCGTTACAAGCCAAGCCACGTGACATGGGCATCACCGGTCAACCTGGCCACCGACATGGTACACAACCACGACGTCACATGCCACCGGATGGCCACACGCACAAGGATCTATGACCGTGATGGTTAAAATATAGAGTGCTCATTTCTCGCTTGTTACCCGGTCATAGAAGCAGCAAAGGAAGATATTTTGCTGTCGATGTTATTATTACTTATTATTTATTGCGATTCATATTTATTTCATGGTGATCCATATTATTATGTATATTGGTCATAATTTTAAATATATAGCACGCTATCTCGGCACTATAGCACCCATTTATCTGCTAACGCTTATGCCGCTATTTAAAACTTTGATCGTGGTGTATATTTAAGACCAAGGTGGTCGTAAGTCGATAGCAACAGAAGAAAGAAATGTATATCCTTTGTGACTCTCCGTCAAAACATATGTTGATTCCACATGCGATAAATGACATTTCCTTAGAAAATAATTAGTATCCAAAAATGATAAACAAACTATCAAAGGGTCCCATATATCAAAGCCAACTGTATAACATTTGTTCTTGCCATACATTAGATGGCTTCGTCTCTCTCTGTGTGTGTGTGTGTGTGTCTCATTGCTAATGCCTAAAACGTGGTACCAGTGGAGTAGATAGGTGGGCTCAATGAGGACGAATGTTCATGGAGCTGGGGCGCATTCATTCACTCAACTTGAATAGCGACCTAAACCTGTCTTATTACATACAACTCAATCAAAAAAATGCTAATAATCTAGGTATGGCCTCTCGATTGATTCCAAGTAGAAACCATGAGTGCATCAACAAGACAAAATACAAAGCACATGCACAACCAGACCAACTATGCCCACTCCTCCGTCCAAGAGAGACAGAAAATGCTTCTGAGGCAAGCTATCCTTCGATCCTCATCCTCGTCCCTGACTCAACAGAAAATATATGCAAATAATAGATATAAATTTAAACATATGTCCTTATTATTTTATCAAATAAATAGCAATCCATGTATATAAATACAATACTGAGATTCCAGGCCTGGGAAGAACCATGCAGGACCCTTAAGTAAGTTTGAACACAAGGATTGTGTAATGTTACAATTCTCGCTTCCTCAGTTTAACTATAAATCCATTTTTCATCTGTAGTATAAAAGATGGCTTAGGCTGGATGATCTGCCCTTCCACCACCTCGACATCAAAGTTCCACAACACAGTCGCAACGATGGTCTTCATCTGCATAACCGCTATCTCCTTGCCAGGTCAGATCCTCGAGCCTGAGTTGAAGGCCAAGAACTTGTGAGATGGTACGTACCTCTGGGTGTTGCCATCCTTTGACAACCACCTATTTGGGTTATAGTCAAGGCAGTCTTTACCCCATAGGTCTTCCAATCTCCCCATGGAGTGGAGAGAAATAAGGATGGTGTCCCCGGCCTTCACCTCATGGCCACTCGGCATGATATCAGCAGCAGCCACTGTCTTGCGCTCAATAGGTGCCGATGGGTACAACCTAAGAGTCTCGTACAATGCAGCTCTGAGATAGACCAGAGGTTTTGTATCCTCTGGTTCAAAGATCATCATGGCACCCGTACTCGCGGGTACTTTGTGCGATGCAATGGGTGAGAGTTGACTGCAGATAATTGATACAATGCCAGGGTTCTGGGCGAGGTTGTAGAAGACCCAGGGTAGAGTGGTACCAATCGTGTCCCGCCCAGCAAGCATGAAGCTGAGGAGCACCGCATGGAGCAAGTCATTGTCTGTGTAGTCTGGGTCATTTATGTAGGAAGATAGAATATCCTCGTTTTCATCATCATTACTCAATGCACATCTTCTCCCATTGAGAGTTATCTTACTCCTCTCCTCGATCATCTCTGCAGCAAATCTTCTTAGCACCGTGTGCGCCGTGCGAAGCTTCCTCTCAGAGCCGATGTTTAGGCGCCTCATTGCCTTCCAGCAAGAGGCTGGAATTAAGTGTTCGATAAATCAAACCTCCATGACCGTGTTCATCGCGACCGCGGCATCCATGGGTGGCATCGACATGTCTAAGGAGAAGGACAGGAGGCCAGGGTCCACGCCAAAGAGAGGTGTGGCAGCCAAGTCAAACATAAACCTGGAAAACACTTCTTGCATGTCGAACGGAGTGCCGGTGCTTGTCAGGTGGGAAAATAATGGTAGAAGGCCATTCTCCACCTTGTCACGGCAGCAAGTTGCCATACTAGCAACCAACCGCGGGTTGCTAAGCACGCTCTGGATTTTTGCGCGCGGCCGAAGAGAGGGTGCACCATCCATGGTGAAGAGGTTGCCAACCATTATGTCAAAGATGGCGGCAAACTCTGCTCTCCCTTGGGGAAGTTGGTGTAGTTTGTGGTGAAGATGTGTCATACATTCGCGGGGTCGCAGGTGATGAGCAACCGCATCCCGCTCCCAACCGGGCCATGCGCCTTGAAGTTGTGGCCTGATTCAGCAAGCACTATGGAGAGATAGTCATGCAAGTTGTGGGAGTTCGCCAAGAAGGAAGGTAACATGTGCAATATTGGCCAGTTTATGGGAAGCATTGTTGGGTTCTTTGATCTACTACTATACCTAAAGTAGTAGTACATAGGGACAAGTAGCACGAGAGTGGAGATGAGCAGCTCTTGTGAGAAACTACTCGACATTATTACCATGAGGGTAGCGGGGGATATGCTATTGTCGTACTATTTCGATTTATGCATCCTGCAATCGAACATGGAGATGGCTTCATTTGTAGACAAGTTCCCTCGATCTAAGTCCATTGTGGTGCACGTTGTTTTGCATTGTGAAGTGCATGTTGACTAGCCAATAACTAGCTTGCCACTACAAGAATATATAATATATTTGTAGCTCCAACAAAGGTAGTTATACGCTCGAGAAAAGTCTCCAAATCGCACTTAATTAGTAGTTGGCCAGTAACCAATCACTCACCAATTAGGAAATAAAATAGTCTTTTTGCTTATTCGGTGGTGGATGTCTATCTTGAGATAGTTAGCTGTACCTATTCTTTCAAAAACTATCAAAACTAAAAACATAATAGCTAATGAACCTTTAAAGCTATTAGTCAAACTATGGTATCTTTTTCATGGAACTTGGAAGTTGAATTTAGGCAAGGATCTTTGATCAGATGGATGTAAACGTAGAGGGTTTTCTTCCCACAAGCTACCGGTACCGGTCACATTAGCAGTGATGGAAACTGGTTTTGTTGAAATTATTATGGCCCATCCACTTTGGTCTATATTAATTTACGTTGTTGTCGATATTATTATCACTATAGTGATATATATTTATATCCATCATGATCATAGGCTACTAGGAAGCAAATAATGAAATGACAAGCACTCTCACCGGTCCTTTTTTATCTGCATATAAGTTTTGTTCGAAGTCAAAATATCTTTACTTTGACCGAACTTCTAGAAAAAAGTATCAAGTTGACTAGCCAATAATTAGCTTGCCACTACAAGAATATATTTGTAGCTCCAACAGAGGTAGTTATACGCTCGAAAAAGTCTCCAAATTGCACTTAATTAGCAGTTGGTCAGTAACCAATCACTCACCAATTAGGAAATATAATAGTCTTTTTGCTTATTCAGTGGTGGATGTCTATCTTGAGATAGTTAGCTGTACCTATTCTTTCTAAAACTAAAAAATTAAAAACATAATAGCTAATGAATCTTTAAAGCTACTAGTCAAACTATGGTATCTTTTTCATGGAACTTGGAAGTTGAATTTAGGCAAGGATCTTTGATCACGATGGATGTAAACGTAGAGGGTTTTCTTCCCACGAGCTACCGGTACCGGTCAAATTAGTAGTGATGGAAACTGGTTTTGTTGAAGTTATTATGGCCCATCCACTTTGGTCTATACTAATTTACGCCGTTGTCGATATTATTATCACTATAGTGATATATATTTATATCCATCATGATCATAGGCTACTAGGAAGGAAATAATGAAATGACAAGCACTCTCACCGGTCCTTTTTTATCTGCATATAAGTTTTGTCCGAAGTCAAAATATCTTTACTTTGACCGAACTTCTAGAAAAAAGTATCAACATTCATGAAGCCAAATCAATACTTTAGGTTCACTAGCATAAATGCCCATGCGTTGCAACGGGTGAAAAAAACCACACTTTTCTAACCCAATTGCTCAAGACCCCCCACCCCCATTCCTCATTCCACGATCCACCGCTAGGCATGATGACATGAACAAACTCTTTGAAATCCTGCATGCTGCCATGAAAATATGTATTGCGCAAAAAATATGAACATATTTCAGAAGTGTACTAAAGGTGTGTGGAATTTAAATCACATAAATATCTACCTGGTTGTCAGTATCCCTTCATGACTTTGTTGGAGTTGCTTAGTGATGCCCAAAACATATCACATTATACTGTAAATAGTAAAGTTCATTCTAGTACAATGTTTGTGCTTCACTAAGGAGGAAACACGGATTTTCATGAACCAAGGTTGGCTAGGTTTAGGGACTGTGTAGTATAGCACTATTCGTGTCCAACAATCAAGCAAATATTTTTAACATGTACTATCTTTTTAATTATATATTTTTTAAATATATTGTAGATGAACAATAAGTAAAAAAAATAATTATGATTTAGACATAGTTTTTCTTGCAGGTGTTAAACAATTCTAACATAATTTTCTCCCCATTTATGGCGGGGGGGGGGGGTAAAACTACACGTTCATGGGACTATAGCTAGTGGCAGAGGATGAAATGTTTTTGAGGGGGGCCAGTTTTGAATGATTTCTAACTGGTATACTTTTGTTCCCACAATCTTTTTAGAGATCAACAACTCATTACGGGAGAAAAGAAATGACAAAAAATCACGAGGCTATTAGGACTCTTTCCTTTTTATTACGGGACGACTTCTCACTTTGCTATTTTTCTCAATCAATCCCAGAAATCCCTCCTTTTTTCTTTATTTTCAATTCCCGGAATCCCTCCTTTCCTTCTTTGTTCTCTCCTTGTTCCTTGTTAGGACACTTTCTTCTTATTACGGGATGGCTGGTTTCCCAGTTTTTTCCCGAATCCCTATTTTCCTTCTTATTACGGGACACCTTCCTACTTTCCTATTTTTCGCTTTCAGTCCCCGAAACCCCTCCTTTCCTTCTTTTTACCGGACAGGTTCCCACCTTCCTATTTTTTTTGTCAATCACGGAAATCCCTTCTTTCCATCTTTATCTTTAGGAAACATGAGACCCACACTTCACTATGTTCGCTAGATGACTTCTTGATATACCAAGGAGATTAAAGATGTATGCAAATTGGGTAGATTGGATTTGAGGGAGCAAGGTGGGACTATTTAACAACTGAATCAACCTTTGTTTCTTCAAATATCAGAACTAGTTCGGTTGGCTGTGCCATTATCTGTTGGACATTAAGTTTGGGGATTAAATCCTCTCATCGACATGTATTTTTTGCTTCAGACATGATAGGTGGGCCAGAGCGCATGGGCGGGCTCAGTTCACCTGGCTCGGACGAATTATACTCACCACGATGGACGAAACAAACATTGACGGGTGAAACTAATAACGAATGAAAATTAGGGAGGAAGAAGCTTTAGTCCTTTTATTTATTTTTGAACACAGCACAGACGCAAGCGGTCATATACACGCGCATACACTCACCCCTATGAACGCACACACGCACATCCTACCCCTACGAGTACATCCGAAAGACTGAGCCGGTATATCATCTTGAAATTTATGAAGTGTTAGTCCTTTTATTAATAGATATAGATATAGATTATGAAATGTAGTTTCATAGTACATATATATTTGGTATTGTTGATGTTGATACTTTTTAATATAAATTTGGTTAAATTTTTTGCAACATTTGACTTGACATAAATCTAATACGCAAAGTTAAAGAACTGGAGAGAGTATCTTATATCCATTGTGACCCTCTACCCACGAATGTCGATCCAACCTGCGTTGAATACCAAGGTACGCCCATTGTTTATAAATATAACCCTTTTTAGAGATTCTAATAAAATCTTATATATCTACTGATTAGAGGCACCATTCAAGCGTTTTAATTAAGCCACACCATCATAATCAATTAAACCGTTGGATTGTTAAATTAAGTCCGAGATAAGAAGAAAACTTGCAAAACACAGATGGTTCCGGCCGTCCAAAAAGACACATGACACGGCCAATGTTTCGAAAAAATTCCATATATTCCTTTAAAGCAAATGATAAAGTCCTTCCATAATTACTATATACTCCCTCAGTTCCTTTATATTAGGTGTATTTGTTTTTTCATTAAATTCCACAATGTAAGGTGCATTTTCTCTAATTCCTTGTAATTCCCCTTTTATACCTCCAGAAAGAGGAAAGTATCTCTATCCTGATTTCCTTTGTCTGTCCTTGTATCAAAAGAAGAAAACTATCTCTCTCTGGATTGCATGTATCTCTTACTTTCTTGGACTCAAGGATTTACATCATAAACAGAAAAGATAGCGTCCTTAAAAAAACAATACCTGTAATAGGAAAAAAAACCATTTTAACATCATAAACTTTATTGGGAATCCAACAAAGACAAACATGCATCAGTGGAAACAACAACCCATATCCAGATATTCATATTATTGTCTGGCATTGCTAACTTGTAACAACTTTGTTGTATCTAACATTAAAGTTGCTAGCCCGTGCAGATGCACGGGTTAACGACTAGTGAACTAAATACAAAACAAAATGAATGAATCTACATTCTAAAATATATCTATATACATCTGTATTTAGTCCATATAGAAATCTCTAAAAATAATAATATTTAAGATGGGAGGGAATAGGAATAATTAACTACTAGGGTCCATATGAAACCAATCGATTTGGGTGGGCATAAAACCTGAACAACAAATCAAAATAATCTAGTAATATACTACAAATATATAACTTTTTTATGGAACTA